TATTATTATTATTATTATTATTATTATTATTATTATTATTATTATTATTATTATTATTATTATTATTATTATTATTATTATTATTATTATTATTATTATTATTATTATTATTATTATTATTATTATTATTATTATTATTATTATTATTATTATTATTATTATTATTATTATTATTATTATTATTATTATTATTATTATTATTATTATTAATTATTATTATTATTAAATTATTATTGATCATTATTATTATTAATTTTTTAACAGTTGTTTCAGTAAAATTCCAGTTCTTTTTAATTCTTCTCCATGAATCACAAAAAAGCATACTAATTAATTTTAATTATAGATTTTCTTAATGAATGAACAGATCTGTTCAGTGACAGAACCAGAGGAAACGAAGAAACGTGATGTGGTACTTCGTAATGACAAAGGAACAGAACAAAGGTCTGTCTACAAGCTAATTTTTGACTTTAATCAAGGATTTACCTGAGATACTGAGATTTCAGGATTCTTGGTGATGAACTAGTTAGCACCCTTACCAGCCATCAATATATACTGGAATTAATTGGTACCTTACTATTGAATGGAATCGATTTGCCAGTAGATGGACAAACTGCTGCATTTTTGAAGAAATTTGATGAACAAGCCGATAGTGACAACGAATGTTGGCTACTTTCCATTCCTTTGAATTTTAATAGTCTCTTAAATAATTGAATGATAGAATATGTTAATTTAATTAATTTTATTTATAACTACTTTCTAATCAATACATTGAGTCCTCCATATTTCACTATGTTTTTGTTTTACTTCAAAAGAAAAGAAGAAAATCAAAGGTCAAAAAGTTTTTTTCTTTTCAGGTAATTTGCATAAACTATCACCGGATGATATTACTATTCTGTTTCATTGTTTGGATGGGTCACTTTTAGTTGCAAGAAATTTTGATAAGCGTTCAGGCCTGAAAATGCTTATCCAAGGATTGTATGACTTTCCAGTACTTCCAAATTTATGCAAGCAAGCAGTCTTAGCTTGGACAATACGTTCACTGACAATGTATGAAATGGTACGAAAATGTCCATTGAAAAAGTTTGCATTTTTTGATCTTTTTCAAAGTTGGCTACTTTTTTCCTTGTGCTTAATTATTTCTTACTTGTCAAATCTTTATAATTCAAAATATTTCCTCTTCTCTTTTTTTTTTTTGAAAATTCATTAGGAATTTGATGTGATTTTGTAGAAAAACAATCGTTGAATGTCTATCGTCATCAGATAGAAGCGAAAAAAATGACAGATATTGCATCAAACAACTTCAGCTATGCCATCGTGTAGTATGTACGTATTTATGTTGCATAGAGAAGAAATTGTCAACGGAAGCTTTACGTCACTTAGCCAGATCACACATTACTCAGGTTAGTGTGTTATGAAAGCGGAAATTTATTACGTCAGATTTCGTTAAATTTTAAATATAGGAATTGATTTAATTTAAAAAGAGTCATTAGCCGATGTACATGAAAGTGCGACTGTATCACAGGTGTAAGAAACACCTGTTCATTTTGAAAAGACTGATGACGAATTTTTAACTTTTAAACTTCTTGAAATCAATTCTCGTTTTTTTTTTTTTTTTGTTTGACTGAGGATTGCCAAATACTAAATGCTCACTTCTTTCTTACCCTAGTTTTTTCGAAATTCTATGTTTCCTTTTTTTTTTTCGATAAATTCGGAAAAACTATTGAGGGATTCCTAATCTCTGACCTTTGGAATTGAATTTTTCGATTTCCTATTATTCATTTCAGCAAATTACTCTGATCCGTAACGATCCAATGGATGAAAATTTGTACAAATTGGTATCTTGTGAGCAAGCCACCGAAATCATTTCTGATTACAGACGTTTAAAAATTGCGCAAACGTTAGTATCACCAAAGAAACGAAGTAATCCATTCAAGGGTGATAACGAACAGCAGCAAACCACTGCGGAAGAAAAACTAATTCTCTCTGTAAATTACATTTAATAATTCAAACTCAAAATTTTCGAACATTAATTAAAACCAAAGAAAGGACTACTCGAACACTAAACAGTTTATGCACCAAATCAACATAACTAAGTAATGATGTTTAGTACCAACTAAATTAAAAGTAATTTGAGCTATAAAGCTGTATCTTACAGTTATGTGCTATCCTTCTGTCCTTAACGAGTTGAATTAAAAACCTTTCATAAAGTAAATTTTAGTCCATATAAAAGAATAAAAGCATGAAGATCTCTTATTATGGAAATTAGATTTTGTAAGATTAAAGCTGAAGCAAGCCAACATATTAAACTGTAGCTGCTGGGCGCAATCCTATTTTATTCTTGTTACGTATTCTTACAAATCATCTCATTTAGAATGAATAATTGCAGGATGGAGAAACACGATGTTGCGCATGGATTGAAATGTCTTTGGCAATCCTGGAAGCATCTTTGCATGAGGAAAGTGAGCAGTTTGAGAAATTTTTGCCCATACTTTATGAAAATGCGACAATACTTATATCCGGTTCATCCAATGTGCGAGTACGTGAATTTGCTGGACGATTCCTCCGTAAGCTCTCAAATTTTCACCGTTTTCCATGATTTTCCTCAGTGTTTTTTTCCGTAACCAAATTCTCAAACTTGAAAATTTAGCCTTCCACGCCTTTCAAATTGATAAAAGTTTTCAAAACTAGTCCTCGATTTCAAGTATTTTTAAATCTAGAAGATCTAAATTGATTTGATCGGGAATGATATAGTTCCAAGTTACTTCATGTTTTAATATGGATTGCAAGATTTTTAAATTTTTCTAAAATTACAAATGGTAGAAGTAAATGAAGAAGTCAGTCATATTCCACATGATAGCTTTAATATGCATTTTAAGAAAGTATGCCAAATAATTTGTCACGAAAACAAACATAAACTATCTCATCAAAAACAAAATGGAGCTATCCTAACATTTCATGCTTCCTTCCTCGCCTTTCAATTTCCTTAAGTTTCTTATTAACTGCATCACATTGCTTCCTGTTGAATAATTCATATCCTTTCATAATACTACCGAAGAAGAATTCTGCTTCAGCATGCGTACTTGAGACAGCTCGTTCCAATACATACAAATCGACACCTTTACTTTCCACTGTTGCATTACCCTGTATAAAATTACTAAATCATTAAATGGAACTTCATGGACTTGGTCCGTTTTAAAATTTCGTTGAAAATTTCTACAGCACTCGATCATATTCAGTCTAATTTGGCATTTTCAAATTAAAGAAATATGAATCTCGCTTTTGAAATATTGAAAAGTTCAGCCATCTTGACAACTCTGACACAGTTGAATAATTAACTTAAATTTTATCTAATTTTGTAACTTCTGTTTATAATGAGGTGCTGAATAAATAATCTGACAAGCGTATTTTGCATATATCAGAAATATCAGGGAATAATTTTACCTCAGCAAGACCAAAATCGATGAAAACAATTGTTTTAGGGTTTCCATTTCGAAGAAGAACATTAGAGGTTGTCAAATCACCATGCGTGATACCACTAAAGTGTAGTTTTGCTATAATTTGACCTAATCGAATACCAAAATCAGTAATTATTTCCTAAAAAATGCCATTATTTATTGCCATTCCTTACTTGAAATAACTAAAGAATGACGTTTAGAACCAAACAGCTGAAAATACAAAAATCAGTCAAGGTGGGAAAAAATGAAGGCAACAAGAGAAAATTTTCTTATTAATTTCAGAAATGAAAGCAAATTCCACATACTTCAAAGTTCCTGCTATTCTTTAAGTCCTCAAGAAATTGTCGAGCAGTGGTACCGCTGGGGATCTCTTCCATAATAAAAGAATTCCGATCAATATTTACAAAGTATACCGTAGGTACATCAATTCCCATCTAAGCGGAATCCAATTTTATTCAAGTACGAAAAAATAGCTCATTGACTTTAAGCTGACATAAAGCACCTCAACGTTTTATCATATCCAATAAAAAGAAATATATCTGATATTATTTCCAGAACATTAATACAAAGATTTGCAACTAACCGTTTTACACTTAAGCAAAGCATTCAGTTCAGCTTTCACACGTTCCTTTGTCAAAATTAAATCCAACGACGGATGCCTAAAACAATATTATCTAATTCAAAATTTCGATTTTTAAGTTCGTCAGGAATGTTACTCATATTTCGAAAGTAAAAGCAAATTTTCCAGATTAAGCTCAATTTTTTCACCGGAAGCTCTCCTCAAACAAAAATTTGTCTGACAAAAAGTTGAAACGATTGAAATTCTTGTAAAAAAAATTGATAGCTTCACAAAGAGATTTTTCCTTCTCCCTTCATACCTGTAAGTTTTGGCGAATCGTTCCTTGATGACTGCTTTCCGGCCAAAATAAGCACATCGATACAGATAAGCCTCAGCTCCCTGCTTGAATGGTTTGAGATCCTTTGAAAGCCATACTGAATCCACAGTTTCAGCTGTTTTCTCCATCAAAAATTACCTGACATATAATTCACGATATCTTGAAAAGTATTTTCTAATTAAAAATTATGCCATCGAAAACATAAATAACCCTAACGCTTAGAAACCATATAAAGTTATCGACTGATTTCCTGATTTAAGACACTGTCTGAAACTACTGAGACCGCAGTAAGCCCTGAAAAAAGAGACATCCAAAAGTTAATTCTATTTGAACTTTCTTCTTGGACCACTGATTAGTAGAACAATACCAACTTCTCCATCCTAACAGGAAGCCTTCATTATAAAGTACAATTTTGACTATTAATAGTAATCGAGAGGAATTGGAAATACTTGTTTACACCGTATGGGCGACACTTATTTTAAAACTTAGTATCAAACAAACCTGGAGCTACAATCACATGCTTTACTAAAATCCAATTCTACACAAAACATACATCGGATATTTCCGAAGTTTTATATAATCATAGCCAAAATATGCCATTTGATAACATATTTGTTGTTATAATCGATGAACACCTTCCATTTAATATTCGAACTGACAGATCAAAGAATTTTAGTTTCATCCAAAAGTAAACAATCAAGGATTCAAAGTGACAAAAACGAACGGATAGAAAACTTGAATTTAAATGATTTTATTTCATTGCATAAGAATTACAACAGCAGTACGGCATTAATACAACCGTCATTTTCAGGATGATTTGTTACTTGAGCATATTTTGCCCACACTACTTTACCACCTTGAGTTACCATACCAAGTTCCGATATATTTACCTGGAATTCATCATTCATGATAATTAAACAGCTTTCTATACAGATATTCAAAAGAATGTTGCATATTAAATAATTAATCAAAGCCTCCAATACATAAGTGTTTGAAATAAATTTTCACTCAAAAGTTAATCTCGATCATACGACCTGAAAACACGACTACTTTAACAAGCAAACAAATGCCAATCAGAAGATGGCAAATGTAAAAGCAAAATGAAAGTAAAAAGTTCATTTAATTGGTGGAAAAATATTAGTTCTCACTTCAATGATCGTTCCCTTTGTAATAACTCCCAACGACGTATACAGCGAGGAAGACGGATTTTTCTTCACCCCAACAATAGGTAATTGAAACGTCGTTTGCAACTCGGGGTGTGTTACATGGGCCTACAAAAAATCATATTTACATTTAAATAGTAATGTAATAGTATTTTTAGTTGAGAACAAAAAAAAAAATCAATATCACAATTCCTTTTTCTTGAGGCTTATCCTTAACAGCCTTCAAATGAGCAATTTTTTTTTACATAATAGAAAACTGGATGAGAAAACTTGCAGTAAGGAGACAGATTCAAATTTTGCATGATAAGGAAAGTTTACTTTTTTAAATCGTAAACCCATTGGTCGAATGAATCGTTCAAATTTCGCTGGCTTCCTCGTGAATGATTCACCAACAAAAGTAACTTTTGTAACCATACGTTTCCAACCTTTTCGACGAGTTTTACCAGTTTTCACTACTTTGAAAGCCTCCGCATCACTCACTGCCTTGACTGTTGGTATGGGTACTTGGTATTTACCCTGGAAAGCAATCAATTTCTCAGATACGCTTTAAAACAGCGAAGCCTCAATCGATTTGTTACGAAGCTTTCAAGATTTCAGTAGACAATCAGAAAATAAACATACATTTTAGCATTGGTTCAACAGATAATGGAAGATCATCAAAAGCAAAATCTCTGTAAACTTTGCAAATGTTATCTTCTAAGCTATAATCAAACAGCTGACATGAGAAATACATCCAATGGAAATATCCACTTACCGCTTTTTCTTTTCGTTTCTGTTTGATCATTGATGACAATACCTTACCGGTCGTTTGCTGTTGCCTATCCAATAGATATGCTGGTACTACACCTCTGTCAGGCTCTTCACTTGTTCCTGTTTGCTTTTTCTCTTCATGCTGCCGCAGCAACCGTCGCATCTCTACCTAAAGCAGATATTGATTCGCATGCAGAAATCTGAATCTGAAATATCAAAGTCAGTTTAAAAAACCCGACAGCGTTAAACTCAGAACTTGACAGTGATGCACAAACAAACCTTTTCAGCATACCGTTTTTTGTGATACAATTTAGCCTTGCGACCACGGATTTTCCTTGCATATTGAGAACGTTCATGTCCAGCTCGAGCATTACGTTTTCTTCTGCAATGAGTAGAAAAATGCGATAATGTGCTCATATCAGAGAGAAATCGAAAAACTTATAAAATACTTCAACCATTCATCCATAAATTCGCAAAAATTTCCAGTGTTGTCTCATCATAATAAGGACAACAATTTCATACGGTCATCAGTGTTTTTATCGACAGTTATATTTTTATATGCGCAAAGGATGTTCACGTCAAATAACTTGAATGACATCAGTGCGTTAAATGTTAAGGTAGGCTCCAGCTGGTTTTAAAGATTTAGGCAAATGTAATATGCAACTAGAACAGAGAAGATCTGTAAGTATCCATAGCTAAACTCGAAATATTGGGAACTGTAAATAAACAGTGATATATTCAACTTCCTCACAATCTTTCCTCATAATCCAATCGACGTCCATGACGTTTACGATGAAGTTCAATATGCTCGTTTTGAGGCTGCAAAGGAAATGGCATAAAAGTCTAGTTCAGCAATTTGTATAAGGAGAAATTTTTATTTTTATAACTGCTTAAATTAATATCGTATCAGATAAATCATCGATTACTCTGATAAGTATAATAAGAGATGCATGCTCCAGCTGTAGAAACAGCAGGAACACGTTTTACCTGTACAGTATCAACATCTGAAGTGTATAGCATGCCTAAGAAACGTATTCGAAAAATGTATATTTCAGACCTAGCATTTCACAGAGCCCATTAACTCCATAACAGTAAACAATTAAACAAAATTTCAAAACTTAAAACGACCCACCATGTTGGATAAAAACTGCAATCACACACCAAACAACTCTTAAACAAACCTGAAAAAAAAGTATAAATTCACAAACAAATTACCAAAAGCAAGTAATTGGAGTCGGATGGTGCTTGTTTCTCTAAAATTTACAGTAAAATATCAAAGCATTAATACTAGTACTATTATCAAAACGTAAATTAGCATCACTGTTTGTATATTTCATAAATTATGAGCGAATAATTGGGAATGAACTCCTAACATTTCGGTACAAGCCACTTTCCGCACAGCTGCTGCTGCCGAGAACAAGAAAAACCAATCGATAGAAACTAGAAATACTTGATTATACTACTTCTCTACTCGCCATCCTTATCCATCTCAAAAAACCATACCCAACAACTTACATATCTGATATTATGAAATTCCAGCCAAATATATCGACAAATTTTAAGAGTTATTCAAAAAAAAAAATTGTGCAGCGGAAATGACAGTTCATAAATTAGTGCAGCACAGATACTTTAATTGAATGTTTTACTGAAACCGTTTACACTTCGATAACACAGGAATATTCAAATCACACTGGCGTTCTGACAGAAAAAAGAGTACACACTTAATAAATCTAACTAATTGGTATCACAATGGTATCCTTTATCTTTTAACTTGTAGGAAAAAGTTACACTTGTGCGTCTTTTCATCTTTCTACATGTACCCGAAAAATTGACCCAACAACTACATTATAACTAGCTGGCGAAAGACTTAAAAAGAAATTAAAACAAAACCTAAAGTGTCTTGAAATTTCTGCAAGTTTATTGATTACCTAAAATTATTCCTTCCAAGGGAATATTCAATTGCAGTTGCTCAATTTATTTGGTCTCTTTTTCCTCCTATTTCTCGATAAGCAGAATTCAACAATGATTTTCGAATCTTATTCAAAAGAATGCTAAAATACCGGAATTCTAAATCAAAATATTCTCAAAACACAGGAAATCTGATTGAAAGCACTCCCACAGAACCGGAATTTTATAATTGAAGCAGTTGAAAAGACTTGGCTCTTCGCCGTATGGTAATTGAAAAAATTCACCTAGCAAGAATTGAAACATTCGCCCTTCATTCACCCTCACAGCAATCGAATTTCAATAAAAACTATTCCTCTTCTCTCTTTTTTTCGGCAACAGGCATCAGCTGAATATTATACAAAAATTACCTAACTGCAAAAATCTCAAACAAAAATACTCGCTTTCGTCTTTTCCTATATCTTCTAATGAAGTGATCCGAAAACACTAAATTCCGACAAAAAATCTCGCATTCATTTGAAAGAAGAAGTTGCACCGTTAGGAAATAAAGTTGAAAATCCTCCCCCTATTAATCTCTATCCCAAGGAACAGTCTAAAACCACTGTCGAACAAAACGGAAACCACTTCCCAAAAAACTTGACAACATATAGTCTCTAATGTCAACTAACGAGATCTGATCACTTACTATATTCCAACCTACACCGAAATAAGATTAAGATATTCACCGATCAGCATAAAATCTTTACCACAATCTTTGTCCCTCTTATTTACTTCAATGATGCCTTCCAGAAATCCACTTCATTGTTCGGATAGATCCACGAACTACCCTAAATTCCTGAAACTATTTTCTATAAATCTTCCCTTAGTCCTGACTCTTAGTGAGGGTTCCCCAGAGAAAACGATCACAGAAATATTAAAAAAGACGGACAACGAAGACGAAAAAGGAAGCATTTTCAAAAGAAAGTGATCACAAACACCAGTCTGCAGGCAACGAAAGCATTATTATGAGCGGAAGATCTTTTTATAAGGAAACTCCGTCGGCGAATGACGTCGTTTACGCCGCCGATGAACTTGACGCGAAAGAAAAGTGTTTAGTTCGGTATCACGCTGAGGACAGGCGACATTAGTAGGAATACACAACGCCTGAAATTAGTCTAACTTAATGAAATTCTTTTTCGTTAATACAGGCGTGGAATCCGTAACAATCCCTCTGTTTCAGAGAGCATAAAATTTTTTTTTTCACAGAGCATGAACAAATTATAACCTTATACACTAACTCATCCTATAAAAAATTGTACAATAAAAACAGTACAATTATGCTACGTATCAAAACACCTTTTTTTTTTTTCTATAAAAAGATAATAAAAATGAGTATTCTGAAAGGTATATCAGACAACGAATGACAAGGAAAAATTGTCGACCTGTTGAAAGAATGAAACTGCTGGACTATCAGTTTGTTCCGGAGTTGGACTCCGCGAAGAATACCCGTATTCCGCAGCACACACAATTTTCGATAACAATTTCCAGACGTCATCAACAGAAACTCCATTATAACGACGTAAGGCATAAATTTCACGCGCAAGAGTTTGCCTACCCGCTATAAAACCTGAAAATAAATGCCTTAGATCAATTAGTCCTTCATATTTGAAATAATGGAAACTGGTCCTACCAATTTATTTCATACCGCACGTGTTATAATACTGTGAATGAATGTCGAACATATGACGCTTGGTACACAAGAGTTGTGACATTCCACTGGCAGTCGATAATTATTAAACTAATTTACATGAGGTCCCATTTTTTGGCTGTGAACCGACGATTAAGTATGCTGTTTTTTACCGTTGATGGAATCACCTTTACTGCTCCGAACAGAAAGTAGAATATGTTGGCGTATTTCGCAGCACCTTAAGCTATAATGTTCTCATGCAACACTGACACTACCGATCAGTTGAAAAAGGGTTTCAAAAATAGAAGTATAAACTTTCAAATAATTTAATCCAATGGCAAACCAATTTCCTACTCCTTTTTAAAATCTGCTTTCAGAAATTTTACAATTAGAAACATTAAAACAAATATTAAAAAAACAGTCTACGAAACCAATCAAAAGATGGTTTTTGTTGGTTCCATAGATCAAAAAAGCCAGCCAAAACCAGTTCTTTCCACTAAACTACCACTTAACATCATGTCTACCTTGCAGCTGTGTTAAAGTCTAATATACTGATAATCTCGAATCTTGATTTTCAGAAAAAATGATAAAATACCTCGATCATAAGCTTTTTTCTTATGTTCAATACCACTTTTGTAAAGCTGAGTCGTGGATGCAGCAGCTGTTTGCATTGCCTTCCATGATGGATTTCGATACAAGAGTGTTACCGATTGGGCACAACTCTCAAAATCGTTCCACAATAAATCATCACCTTCATCATCGGAACGTTTACCACCGCCTTCACTCATTGAGCACCCTAACCTTTATCACCGAAAGTCTGCAATGATGTAGGCTTATTGTTTTTTCTGGATGAATCAATTTTCAGGTTTTGAATTATCGAAGACGTGAATCGGAAAAGCACCACTCTTAGAACATGACTGTATCATTTATGTCTACAGATAAGACAAACAAATAAACCGGAAAGCTTTCTAATCTTTAAGTGTTCAACTATAACTGTAATCCTTAAATTCATAACTGGTAAGCCTAAGACCAATAATATATATATATATATATATATATAACAATAATATATATATATATATATATATATA